CCTCCGCTCGTGGGGCGCGCCAGGCTCTCGCGCGCGATCGGGCCCGACCCGCCCGTGCTCGTCCGAGGGTCGGCGGCTCCGAGGGGTATGGTCTGCAGCGGGTGCGGTCTGCAACTGGCGCCCGGGGGGGGCCCCCATGGGGCGCGGGCGCGGACCTCGACGGGCGCACGAGGCGGCTCGACGAGGACGGTGCCGCGCCCCCCAGGCCCCCACGGCGCCTATCGCCAACCACACCCTGGCGTAGCCACACCCTCTGTCGGACAAGCGCACTCCACCACTCGCAGAGTGACCACTCGCAGATGGCCCAGAGCCGCCGCGAGGGGTCTGCGACCGATCGCACAGAGGGAAGACATGCGACGCTCGGACGCTTGTGAGCAGGCACTTTTTGTGAGCAGGCACTTTGCGAGTAGGCGCTCTGCGAGTGGGCGCTCTGCGAGTAGGCACCCTGCGAGCAGGCACTCTGCGACCAAGGGACCGCGCTCGGTGATTCCTCTGGCCGCCGAGAGGGGCGACCAAGCCGGCGCCTGCCGCCGCCACGAGCTGCATTGCGAGGGGGGCATGGGCCGGGCGATCGCCCCGGCGCTCGGGGAAAAGCCGCGCGCCCGCGCGGCCGGGGCCAGCGCCGCGCTGGGGGGGCCGAGCCGCGCCCTCTGAGACTGCGCGGAGTCGGATCGGGGTCGCACCGTGTGGCCCTCGGTCGTTGAGGCCTTGACGACCTCTGACGTCCCTCGACTCGCGCTGGCGCGGCCGCGTTTTGCTCTAGCTTGGCTCTCCCTCAAGATCTCTGGATTTACCGGGATTTGCCCAGATTGACCTGCAATTGCCTCGATCTATCTGCTCTTACCTGGACTTATATGGCTCGATCCCCACAAGTCGATCGGCGAAAAGTCGTTAAGCCCTTAGGGACTCGGAGTGAGGCGCGACAACTTCTTCACGCCAGGCGGACTTCGCTCGGTTCCAGGACACCGGAACCGTCACGGGTCGATCCCGCTCGGAAGACGCCGCAGGCAGGTGGGGTCTGGGACTCGGGTCGTGACTTCTCGCGATGAGCTATGTTTTCGCAACGTCGGTTCTCAAGGCTCTGTCGCAGTGCGCTCGCCTGTGCCACCCGCGTTGAGCCGCCCCGCCACCCCGCGCGTTGTCGCAACTGGCCCACCCAGACGCGACACACGCTCTGCCCTGTGCTCGCGCGGGCCTCCACCCCGCCTCAAGCTTCTGGAGCCCGGGGGGGCTGGGTGCAAGCGAGGGGGCGGGAGGAGGAGAGGCGGGGCAGGGCTTTCTGACTCCAAAGGCCGTGAACCTGAAAACCAATGAAACTACAGGAGATCAGCGAGTAGCTCCTCGGGCTCAAGTAACGTATCCAAGAGACCGTGAGCAATTTCCCAGAACAGCCCCCAGTTGGATGGCTAGGGAAAGGAATCCGACTGCCTTTCTTTTTGTCCTCACGAGCCATCGATTTAGCTCACGAGCCTTAGTCCGGCTGGCATCGAAATTTAAATCAAAAAACTAGATTCCGATCTAGCCCGCGTTGCTTCCCAATGCACTATTTCCAATATCCGAACCGATGCTCGCCCTAGATTGCCGCGGGACGTTTTTGTTCGAAGAAAGTGTTGGCACGACGATAAAATGACCGTACGATTTCACGTCGCACAAGTACAACAGGATCGGCGTCGCGTAAGCGAGCGTACTCAGATATTAACCGCAAAACACATGTGTGATAGTGGTGTGGTGATAGCACGGCGACGGTGAGCAGCAGCCAAATAAATATGAACACTCATACAGGGCAGCCCCAAGGCGGGCCCACAGGGCCCTTCCCCAGTGTTCGCATATGTGGTTCCCCGACAGTTTGTGCAACACACGTCTCAATAGCATTACCGCGCTGATGCTGGACATTCCACCACACAGGCGCAGGGGGGTAAGGGCGGGCGCAGGGGTGGGAGCGGGGTTCAGTTAGCCAGCTCGAATGAGCCAGAGGGCCCCGTCCACTACCACCCGCCCCCCCACAACATCGCAAATGCGTCGCGTCCGACGCCTGTCGTTTGGCTAGACGCTCAGCGCGCGACACGAGCTGCATCCGATTCCAGCCGCGTATTGAACGACGCCGACGAGAAGCAAGACCGCGCGCGATGTACGCCGCACCCGCTCCGGCCTCTCATGTTGCATCGTCGGCGACAACATGTCCAGCGCGCGACGTGCGCCGCGTCGCATTCAAGCCACGCGCGTTGCACCGCCAATCGTTTCGCTCCTGCCGCGCAGGGAGGAGGGGGAGGAGGAAGACGAGGAGGACGAGGAGGACGAGGAGAAGCGGGAGGGGAAAGAGGGAGGGAGGGAAGGAGAAACTGAAGAGGAAAAGGAGAATGCCTCTTGGGAATTCGCGGGGCGTCCTGGGAACTTTCTGGTATACGCCTGAGGGCCTCTTGGATATATCTTCCCGGTTGGAACATTGTCAACACAAAAAAATGCGAGCGTCATTCAGTCCTTCAAATACCAAATGAAAATCCATGATTGTGTTGCCCCCCCAAGACCTCCTGGACGCCATTGTTCGACCTCTCGGGGGTTTCCTGAAGCATTTGCGTGAACCGCACTTGCTTGAGGCATTATGACTTGCCGCCCGCCCACCTCCTCAAGCCGACGGGCCGCAGCGTCGACGACAAGAAAGTCCATGTTGACGAGCAGGCGTCCCCGCGCGATGTGCGCCGTGTCCCATTCCCACTACGCGATGCGCAGCGCCGACGAGGAGAAAATACATGTTGGCACGAAAAACGTCGACGTTGCGGTGTCTTTTGGCAGGTAAGACGGGGGGTCCCGGTCCCGCCTAGGGTTGGCCAGGCGTCCGCGCGACATGCGCGCCGCGTCCCATTCGTGCTACACGTTTCGCAGCCTCGACGACAACAATGTCCATGTTGTCGAGAAAAACGTTGACTTTGCATTGTTTTTATAAGTTGGACGCGACCACACGTTTAAAGTTACCCCAGCTATGTTTATCCGTCCCATGTATGCTACACTTGTCGAAGCGTCGACGACAAGAAAGTCCATGTTGACGAAAAAATTGACTGTGCATGGTTTCTTGATAGGCAGGACGCGACCACCAGCTGACGGTCCCCAAGGCGATGTTCATTCCGTCAAATTCCTGATGCACTTCTCGCAACTCGACAACAGGTTGGCGAGACAAAAATTGAGTTTTATTGTCTTGATACGGTTAGGACGGCGGGGTTGTTATCGGCCGGCTAGGTGGGGGGTTTGGGGTGCTTAGTGGGGGTGGGGATGCGTGGGGGGGAAAGAGGGCACTGGAGATTTGCCGCAGGCGTCTTCAATGTTTTAGGGCGTCGGTTCCGCTGGTTTCGTCGCCAACAACGCCGAATGGGCACATTGCTGACGGTCGGGCAAGGATTCGTGGCCAAGGGTAAAGAAAGGACGCTACAAAAACCGAGCGTGGCGGTGGGGCAACCCTGGCCTTCCTCTGAAGCCTTGATCGGCGAGGGACGGGTTCGGATTTCGCAAACGCGCACGCACACGCACACGCACCCGCACACGCACGCGTCCTTCCTCTGAATCCTTGGTCGCCCAAGGAAGGGTTCGGAGTTCGCTGCCGAATGGAAGGGCTGGTCCCGACCACTTCTCCCAGCCTCGCAATCCGCCCCCGCGCCTCGCGCGACAGGGAGGCGCGCACCAGCTCCAGCACGGCGGCCCCCGCGGAGTTCGCGGGCGTCGCGGGGCGCCGAGGCCCCGGTCGGGCCAGCTGGAACGAGCGGGCCAGGCAGGAGAAAGAGCGCTGCGCGCCCGATCCTGGCCAGGCACCTCCTGGGCCCACAGCCAATATACATCAGCTACACGCAGGGATGACATTAGGTTCAGGTCGGGCATGTCCCGTAAGAACCGAAAACCGCCCCAGACGATTGCTTGACTATTGTTGATTATAGGAAGGCACCAACTATACACCAACACCGACCCTGGCAAGGATCACCCGGGGCCCAGGATCGGTGTGTACGCCCTCCTGCCTTGCGCCAGAAGGCATATACACCGATCCTGGGGCCCGGGGTGATCCTGGGCCAGGATCGGTGTTGGTGTGTAGTTGGTGCCCTCCGAGAATAGAGGGACAGGCCCCACTTAACACTAGACGAACTTGGCCGTGGGGCACGCGGATTGCCGGCCGCTGCGTGCGGTGCGACGGTGGCGGTCTGCGCGCTCGGGTGCGGCCCCGCAGCGCCCTCCGAAAGCCGCGCACCGGGAGGTCACTCCAGCGAGGGGTCACTCTTGCGTGCAGCCGAACACGTTCTTGCGTCGGCGGCTACTCCAGATTTCGTAATAAAGGGAGGGGGGTCTCACTTCGGGGGGGGGCCTCTTCCAGGCTATCTTGGGGGGCCTGGGGGGTCTGGGAACGATGTTCTGGAGGGTTCTCCCATGGGGGAGGTCTGAAATGGCTTGTCTTGGAGGGTCCAGACCCCCTCCCTTTTATTACGAAATCTGGAGTAGGCAGAGGGTGACTGCGCTGGCGATGAGAGGCTCAAACGAGGATGCCGTTCGAGCGAACTGTGCCACCGTGCAAAAACAGGAGCGAGGAGAGGACGCGGCCGAAGGAAAACAGGGACGGGGCGGGCGGATCAGGGGTCCGATCGCTCCCCGAGCGTGTGGCGCGGCCAGCCCCGCCGCAGGGCCCGCGGCGGCTGCTGCGTCAGCGGGCGAGGGGCGGTGCAGCCAAACACACAGATCCTGGGCGAAGGATGGGCCTGGCTGGGATCAGTGCGTGCGCACAGTTCTCCTCGAACCGCGCAGAACACATGTGGGCGGAGGAGGAGAGAGAAGCAGGCCCGAACTAGACCGGGTATGAGCATCGGGCCCTGTCGGAGACAGATCGGCTCGAGCATGAATCGGCGCGGAATCGGATCGGGATCGCATCGCTTGCGATCGCGAATGCGTTTTGCTGCTGACTGCTGCTGCTTCATTGACATCCTGGCTGTTGCTGGCTCATTAGTTGCATATGCGGGCCCTGGGATTATATTGGGGAATGTCGGGCATACTGTGCAACAGTGGGCGTCTTGCATACCACGTGGGGCTCGTGGGTTGTCGTCGGGACCTCTTCGGACACGGCTGAGGCATTGCGGCTCCCCTTGTAATTATCTGACGCTTGTCCTGGTGGCCGCGAGAATTATGTGTACCTCTCCGCGCCACTTCAGCAGCCATCCCTGTCAGGTCATCGACCCTTAGCAAACGAAAAAGAAACAAACTTGGGAAACTTCAAGACTTGTTTCGCAAAGGTCCGTCTGCCCTCGCCAACACAGTCGTCATCATCAGCGGCACTGTCTGCCGACTGCCGATACCATGCATATATGCGACCTACATGCTCCAAAGAAATAATGATGCCACGGTCAATTGAATGGTTGCCAGCCGCAAATGAGTGGGCAAGTACAACCATGATTTCGTACGCACCTGCTGGGTGCATTACATAAGCAAAAACATTGCCGTCATGTCAGTGCGCAATACAGTCGAATCCCATACGTGATTGAGAAAAAAACACCTTATCCGAGGAGCGACAACATGCTGGAAACTCTTAAGGAGCAATCGCTCACTCATAGCAGAAGGTGCGCATTGACTTGCAGCAGAAACTGCACGGTTATACAAAGTGATGGTGCAATGCTGGCTTATCTGGCATGATGCGGTTTGGGCCCAGCCGATAACGAATGTCTGTCAAACTTGCCTGATGCTTCCTCTACATAAGCATCCCGTCCTTCGTCACCTGATACTTGTTATGTAAGAGTACGTCAGGATCCATCCAAACGCAGTCCATACTACTGAACTCGATCAAAAAACAAAATACAGCAGGGAACAGTAAATAATTCGCCCGCTTTCGAATCGTATGTCCCAGGCCCTCTGGATCCGCCAACGTGCCGCAGGCACGCAGTGGAGTGCCATCGAGTTCTCAGCGAACCTCAAGGCCTTCTCAGAAGGCGGCAAGACTTCTCAGAAACCCTCGCGCCTTCTGAGATTTTGTCGCGTCTTCCGGGAAGGCGTGGAAAACCTCTCAGAAGGCCAGGGGACTTCCGAGCCTTCTGAGAGGGCCCGCCTCTTCTCACTTTCCGACCTCGTTCGCCGCCGATGTTTGAGGGCCCGGAACCCAACTTACCGATGTTACAAGCGCTCTCGCGCGCTCTTGCATTGTTCTACGTATGATCTTTCGTCGTGGAGCCTCAGAAGCGTGACTCGGAAGCCAGACCTCCATGCCCTAAGATGGTCCCAGAAGACTCTCCTGAAACTCTCTTACGGGCCTCCTGATCCGTCTACGAAGCCCCGTAGACCAGACAAGAAGGCCAAAATCCTCCAAAACCCTTCGGCCCCCCAGAGGCCCAAGAGTCCAGTCACCAAGAGAGTCACTAGAGGCTTTCAAGAGGGCCCCAAGAGGAACCAAAGGGGCAACTCGAAGGGCTCCCCGGCACCCTCCTCCACAAGACTGCCCTCGAGACCGCCCCCAAGACACCCCTAAAGGGCCCCCAGAGGTCCCCAGGAAGCCCCCAGGAGACCTCAGGAGGCGCCCAAGAAGCCCCCCGAAAGCCTTCAAGGGGCCCCCAAGAAGCCCCCACGACCCAGGTACGACCCAGGCAGGGTGGCGGGATGGGCCTGAGGCCTCTAGATCCGCCGCCCCCAGGGCCTGCGCAGGGGCATTGCCGTGCCAGGCGTGTGAGTACTTTTTGCTGCCCCTCCGGGAAAACAAATCCCAGTAGGGTCTCGGCCACTGCCACTGGCCACCCCGAAACCACTTCAAGGCCCCACCCCAAAAAAAGTCAAGACGATCTGCATCCAAGAGGGCCAAAGTGGCCTCCAAGACGGCCCAAGACGGTTCAGGATGGCCTCCAAGACGGCCCACGAGGGTCCAAGGGGGCTTCAAGTTTGCCCAAGATGGCTCCAAGACGGCCCCACGTGACCCCAAGACGGCCCAAGATGGCCTGTAGACGTCCCAATGGGCCTCCACGAGCACCCCTAAAGGACCAAGGAAGCAAGTACCACTGCTTTGCTCAAAATGTTGACTGATCTTCACATTTCCGCCTTGTCGGGAGCCGACAACCCAAGACGGCCCCAGGGGCCATCAGGCCCCAAGACGTCACAGAAGGCTCCACGACGGTATCAAGAAGACCCCAGGACGACCCAAGAGGCCCCCAAGAGGGGTTCCACATGGAACCCTGAGGTTGGACCAAAAACCTCTGGAGGTTCGGGTTTCCTACCTCGGAACCTCCCCATACTGAGGGAAACAAGAAACAGAGGAAAGCAAGAGGAAACAAAGACAGACATGAAGAGAACATAGAATCAACCGCAAGAAACAAAAAGTAACAACAGGATATATACATATATATATATATAAGTATAGACAAAGAGAAACAAGGGGGCTGCAGCACGAAAATATGGAGGCCAGGGTTTCCGACTTCGCAACATTTCCGTCAAAAAAGAAACAGCGAGAAACAGAGTCGTACATTAGGGAAAATACAAAACGATAAGGAAGCAACGGGATGCAAAAGAAAACATGCATAGGCATACAAAGAAACATAGAGGAGCAGAACAAGGCAACGTAATGAAATAGAGGGAAGCATGAAGACTAGCGGGGAAAAGCAGGGAAACATGAACAACTATAACCACGCAGAACGAAACTTGACGAAACATCGGGAACCATGAGGGACCATTATGGAACACAAGACGCCCTCTCGGGTGGCCAAAAAACTCCTATGAACGCGGCCACGACAAAACGTGCGCCGTCCCTACACGATGCTGCCCCTCTCACTCACAAACTGCGCGGCCCTGGGCGAGGACAACATCGCGCCCTCTTTCGCGCAGCGCCGCTGCCGTTGCCGCGCACACGCGACTCGACGAGCGAAACACTTTTTGGTCGGCGGGGCGAGAGCGAACCTCTTCCGCTAAAAGCTAGGCGGGCTACGCACAGCTTTGCGACGAGCGAAACACGCGCTGAGCCAAGGTAAGCACGCCAGTGCCCGCCGAAATATGGACAGATCTCGGGCGAGGGCGGCGGGTCGCACGCGCGCGCGCGCGGCCCCGGCCACCACACGACCTGGCGAGCGCAAAACCCCCTGCGCTGCGCCAGCACGGGGGCGCCACGTGCAGGCGACCTCTGCGCGGCGCCAGGGCGAGAGCTGCAGTGTCGTCCTCCGGAGAAAATGCGCGTCGCGCCCCAGCGAGAGTTCGACCCTCGGATTGCTAGGAGCGCGTCGAGGGGGTGAGAGCGACGTTGCGCCCCCTCGCGCGGGGTGCGCGGCCCGTCCCACTTTGGTGGCGCATGTTGCACTGCCGACCACCGAAGGCCGATGTTGAAATGGCAGACGTCGACTTTGCTTTGCCTGTGATGGGAAAGATGGAAGGTCTCAGATTGGGACGCAGTAGTGCGGAAGCGTATGTGTTTCTCGATGTTTGTCTTTGCTTATCTTCGTGTCCTCCTCTTTGTATGTTGTTCAGTATGCTTTTCGTGTGTGTCCCTGTGTATGGAGAGGTCCCGAAGTAGAAGTTCCTGACCTCAGGAGGTATGTGTTCCACCCTCCTTATGTCCCTCGGTTTCTCTTTGCTTCCTTATGGTTCCGCATGTTTGCCTCTGTTTCTCGTCGTTTCTTTGTTATTATCAATGTGTGATTACGTTTCTCCCTGTTTCCTGTATGATGAAGATCCGATAAAAGGAAAGCCTGATATGCTCCAAGCTCCCTCTTTCTGTAAGTTTATGTACGTTTCTCGTTGTGCCCTTCTGTGCATATGATGTAGCGTTGCTTCGTCATGTTTCTCGTTGTTTCATTATGTATAGGGGAGATCACCAGGTACAAAGCCCCTACTTCTGGAGGTTAATGGTCCAACCTCACTCGTTATGTGTTTCTCTTGGTTTCGCCGTGTTTCCCGACGTTCGCCTCCGATTATTGTTGTTGCTCTGCGTGTCGCTATCTTCCTCCATGCTTTCTTCACTTGCTGCGTGGAGGAGCTCCGAAGCAGCGAAGACTTCTTTGATCCGCGGGTCGAGAGCGCACCTCTTCCGGTCGAAGCTATCAGCGCGCCGCGCACAGCTCTCATTCACAAAGGGGCGGGGGGGGCAGAGGAGGGGCCTCGCGTCGAGGCCAGGCCGAATCGGGGATGGACAGACCCCCCTTTAGTAAAACGTGGTTTAGTGAAAACGACCTGAGGCCCAAACCTGGCGGGCGCAAGCCTGGAAAATAACGGCCACGGCGCCATCTCGAGAACCGAAAACGGACAATTCACTAATCGACGTGTCACTGTTGGGGGTTCTGTCCACCCCTGAGACACGAGCCTCCCAGGGGTTCGTGCTCCAACCTCCGGAGCCAGTGTTTTTTTCCCCAGCAGGGCCCCAGGAGAGGCCCCACACTGCCCAGGGAGGCCCCCCAAGGAACCCCACGAGGCCCGAGGCAGGGAGCCCCAAGAGGGGCCCGGGAGGCCCGCGAGCGGCCCCCAAGGGGCCCCAAGAAGCTCCTCCCTCCTCCTCCTCCTCCTCCTCCTCCTCCTCCTCCTCCTCCTCCTCCTCCTCCTCCTCCTCCTCCTCCCTCCTCCTCCTCCTGGTCCTCCTCCTCCTCCTCCTGCTCCTCCTCCTCCTCCTCCTCGTCCTCCTCCTCCTCCTCCTCCTCCTCCTCCTCCTCCTCCTCCTCCTCCTCCTCCTCCTCCTCCTCCTCCTCCTCCTCTTCCTCCTCCTGCTTCCTCCCCACGTGTCCTCCACAAGGTTTCCACAAACGGCGGAGGGAACACTAAGTCCAATAGCCCGGCCAGGCTCAAGCCCACCATGCGGACGCAAAGGCGGTACCTATAAAGGCAAGAAGCGGCGGTGAGTCGCCGTAAAGCACCTTTAACAGTGTCGCTGCAGCGTCCACGAGCCCTCATGGCTCGGCGGCGAGTCCGGAGGGAAGTGAGAAGGAGAAGGCCTTCTCAGAAGTCCCGGAAGTCCCTGGGCCTTCGAAGAAGTTTGCTCAGCCTTCCCCGAAGACACAGACAACTTCTCAGAAGGCGCGAGGGCTTCTCAGAAGCCCCGCCGCCTTCTGAGAAGGCCTTCTACTTCTCACTTCCCCCCCTCGCTCGCCGCCGACCTAAGAATCTTCGACAATGTCGCTGCAGCATCCACAAGCCCTCATGGCTAACCGCTGCGGTAACGAAGTCGTCTTCTCAAGCAACCACAGCTACAAAGCGCACGCAGAGGCCTCCTGTTTGACGCACGTCGCGATCCACAAAAAAAAGTTCCTGACATATTCTGAAGGACGACAGCAGCAAAGAACACGTTCACGAGGATAATGATACCCGTGATGATGCCAAACTCATCGACCAAGGGCCCAGTATCGGCAGTGTGGCGAAATGTAAAATTGCGAAGCGCACGTGGAGGTCTGACGCTGGCGGCCATGCCTGCAGCATCTCTCGACACCGAGGGTGATCCACGCGGCATTGTCGTGGGCGCGACTTGCGGAAGGGCTTCGCGCACACCTTCGGGAGGCAGCGACGGATGCAAGGCCTGACAACGCCCCTCCAGCCAGGAGCACTGCCCATTGCACCAGGACATGCTGTCGCCGCAGAGGGCACAGCTCGCGGCTCGGTGACCTCCGCAGGACACCAATCCCTCCTTCCTCGGAGGCCAATAGTGGGCAAAAGCTTCTCCTGTGTGGGTATCGAACTCCACAGCCGAGGGGTGATTCAATCCGGCACCCTGCATCGCCTCGGAAATGTCCGTGTCCGCAAGCAGCAGGCGCCCACTGCAGCGAGGCCGCACGCGCCCTGCTGCCTGGGGCATGTGTCCGACAACCATGCGGCTGGCCCCGAAGGCCGCCAACGTTCGGTTCAGCCACTCGCAAACCTTGGTTTCGTTTCCATCTGTCCCAAAGAAATGGCACCAGAAGGGACCATGCTCACCAAAAACCAGACCAGGATTCACGGCCAGGAAAGACGTGTGATTGACGCCGTTAGCTACCGATGCCTCGTGCCATGTCATGTACGCCTTCTCGACCACGGCATCCACATGACCGATGCTTCCAAGCTCTTCCTTGCTCCCCTCAAGAACACGCTGGACCAGCGCATTCAGGGAAGACGCTGCATCAGACCCCTGGCCGCTAAAGGGCGCCGCAAGCTGAGGCAGCACGCCTGCGTGGGAAAAAAGGACGCCACCAACCACCGCGACTGCCTGCAGACGACCCCGCACGAGCCTGCCCATGTCGCCGGCAGGAGACCATAAGCGGGACCACACTTCCAAGCCCCCTGCACCAGACAGCTCATCGGCATTGACATAAGACGTGTCTCCCTGCATCTCCATCACCTCGTGGTTGCCGTACAACAGTACGACGCGTCCGCCGGCAAGCGCTGCCTCCTCCTGGAGCTGGGAGAACGCGCGAAGCAGCTTCTGCGAGCTCGGCCCTCGGTCGACAACGTCGCCTGTCTGCACCAGCGTGGCAGTACCTCCGCTCCACCTCCCCGTCGCAGTGGTCAGCCCCAAACGCTGCAGGATGCTGGACAACGCCTCATAGTCTCCGTGCAAGTCACCCACACTGAAAACATGGCGGCTCCACATCGACACGTGCCCAGGCAGTACGCGAGAGGCGCGGCAGACCAACCTCGAGGAATGTTATGTTCAGGGGAGCTGCAGTTTGCCTCGGGATGGCGTGACGGGGGGCATCGGTGAACACGGCAGCCTGGCGAGGCCCAGCCCAGATCTCCAACGAATATCACGGCGCCTCTCCTCGAGTTCGGCCCTGTGGGGGCCGTTTTGGGGCTCCAGGGCCATCAAAAGGGGACCCAGGACGAAACATTGAGCTGTGAGCTGGGGAAGAGGTCGGGACCTGTGTGGCCGCGGATTGGAGAAAAAAGCACAACAACAACAACAACAACAACAACAACAACAACAACAACAGCAGCAGCAGCAGCAACAACAACAACAACAACAACAACAACAACAACAACAAAAGTCGGCGGATGTCAGGGAGTGCGACGTGACATGATGTGGTACGGTGGCCTGGCCTGGCATGCGGTACGGCAAAATGCGCTGCATGGCAGCAATATGCGGAGCGGTGCGTGGCGAACTGCCGAACGGACTTGAGGGGCACAGGGACAAAAAAATGAGAATCGACGCATGCGGGAGGGTATGTTAGCTCACGGTGGTTTGGCACCCCCATTGCAGGATGCGCGTCACATAGACGATCATGTGTTCCTCCGCCAGCGAAATAACACCACTCTTGCGAATGAAAATGATGCTCACGAAAGAATTGCAGCCAGCATTGTGGATGAAGCTGTCGTTCCCGGGAGGCCCCGCCAGACCTCGGCAGGCATGTAAATACCATCTTAGCCAACAAGGTTCGTGCACTGGTACCGTCTTCCGCTCCAAGAAGGCCCCACCAGACCGCGGCAGGCATCCGAATACCGTGTTCTTTATCAGGGGTCGTCATGCGGGTCAGAAGTGGGACGTCCGAAGAGAAAGCGAAAGAATCCAGAAGCAGAGGAAGTTGAGGAGCAGGAGAAGGAGTAGGGATTAGAGTGAGGAGCACGGAGGGCCAGGAGACGGCGCCACTCGAGGGGGAAGAGACGTGAGCAGTGAAAAGTCCTCCTCCTCGTCCTCCTCGTCCTCCTCCTCCTCCTCGTCCTCCTCCTCCTCCTCATCCCCCTCCTCCTCCTTCTCCTCCTCCTCCTCCTCATCATCCTCCTCATCATCCCCCTCGTCCTCCTCCATCCCTTTTCCTCGTGAAGAACTCCTCCCTGTCACACCCCGAGACGTGTTGGTAAGGCTGCCCGGGCGTTTCGCCTGAGACTTCCTCGTCACCCATGGTCCCTAAGTTTAGAATTTGCAACCATTTCAAGGATGGGGAGCAAGCCGTTTTCAAAATGTGGTTCTCGCCTTACCGCCACGCACATTCGTTTAGAGGATGTCGGAGTTTCACGGATGGAGGGCGGGCGGTTTTCAAAATGTGGCTCTCGCCATAGCGCCGCGCACATTCGTCTTCAATGATTGCTAGAGTTGCATGGATGGAAGGCGGTTCCTTTTCAAACTGTGGCCCTCGCATGAGTGCCGGCACGCTCGTCTTAATAGCTTACAACGTTTTAAATGGTCTTTATGGTAGTTCCAGAATTGGTATTTTGGATCAGTGTGGGACCCTTAGGGCGCAATAGCCACGTTGATTCGCGGGGCTGAAGTCCGAGGAATGGTGATATGTCACGATTGGGGATCGTCAGGACGTATCAGTAACGTTGATTCGCGACGTTGAAATCCCAGCAATGGTGCTTTGGCACTGTTCAATATTTTCCTCAGTGAAAGAGTCATTGCAAGGACCCATGGAGAGTGAACTTGGAGTGAGGGTTTACTGCAACATCGTGAAGAAAAATGGGCTTACACTGGTTCTCCTCCTCATCATCCTCATCCTCCTCTTCCGTGCTGCTGCTTCCCTCCCATTCCTTCTCCTTCCTCCCTCGCGCGCCTATTGTGAGGTAGCAGGAGGGAGGACGAGGAAGAACGAGGAAGCAGGGAGAAAGGAGGGAGGAAGGAGGAAGGAGCGAAGGCGAGGAAGGGGAGTGAGGAGGTTGGCCTGGACAAGTGACGGAGTAAGTGAGAAGGTGAGTCACCGCAACAGGATTAGCAGGAGGGGTTAAGCGTAGGAAAAGATTAAAAAGCAGCAGAACCAAACAAACAAAAAAAAGGACGAATACTAAAGAGAATGCGAAAGAGTGCGCAGGAAATGGAGGAGCAAGGGCAGGACGAGGCAGCTTCGAGGAGCGAAGGGGACTGAGGGGGAGGAGTCGGGAAGGCGAGGCGCAAGTGTATGTTCTGGTCCTTCCTTTTTCGTTGGTACGTCTTTGCCCCCCGTGACCCGCGACCCAATCACAGCCTGAATGCAGGGAACTCCGGCGACATATGCACCCCATATCCCAAGTACGGCGTCATTATGACCAGTGTCATGCCACAGCCTCACGCACCTCACCCGCTTCCGTCGTTTCTTTCTCTCTCTCTCTCTCTCTCTCTCTCTCTCTCTCAGGGTCAGGCTCGTTGATATTCGGAATCACCACCCCCATATCCACTAACACTCAGACTCATTCGTGCTCAGACTCCCGAACAATCAGAACACTTACGCTTAGATCCAGTCGTACTCAGCCTAGTCATACTCAGACTCATGCACACTGCGACTGCGACTGCGACTGCGACTGCGACCCGCATTGCGCACCCTGTAGGTGCCGCGGGTTGGGGCCGAAGCACCCATTACATATTAGATCGCCTGACAAAAATCTTGCTCTAGATCGCGCCATATATCTCGCGTGGCACACCTCAGGAGTAGATGAACAGTATATCGCGCTTCACGTCCGTCTGCGAAAGCCTTCTATTCTTCCGGGGTCAACGTTTCTTTGTGCTTTGAAAAGAAATGAAAGATGTCGTCAATCCAGCGACGCTTTGGTCGGTGAGGGCGTCTTTTCGCATATAATTCAACGTGCTGACACGGATCCCAAGATGCAGCCTGGCGCATCCACTCCCCGGGCGCCTTGCATGCAACTTTTGCGAACCACCGCCATTTTCTTCGACATTGTAACGTGATCCAGTCATCAATGTGCAAGGATTTGGTGTACTCCACCTCTCTTGTAATGCGTTTGATCCATCCTACCCAAGGATCCAAATATTCTTGAAGGTGCTCTGCTGCGGGTAGTTCTCCATGTTTTACTCCATCGCTGTCCACACCGTCGTCGCTGCTTGTCGTTGTGTTTGCCCTCTCTTCTATCTCTGATCCTTCAGCTTGGCGTACTTATTTGCGACGTGGCGTCTGGATGATCATTCTCAGCATGTGTCTTTGCGTTCGTCGAACTCTGTTTTCAAGTTCCACTGTCATTGTCCACGCTTCGCAACCATATAGTAATGTCGGCGTAAGAACACCATGAAATAAACGCATGCGGCCTTTCAGAGAATACCTGCGTCCAACAAGCTCCTGCTTCCAAGTATAAAACTTTCTCCAATATGCAGCAATCCTGTTCTCAATTTCCACTCTGCGGATCAGAAAAACTCAATTCTCGACCAAGGTATTCTGTGTGTCCGGGTATCTGTAATATCTCGATGTCCACGCCGTTGATGTCCATGCTTACTGCGTTCTGGTCTTTGCGCGAGCCGCCAGAGCTATTGTGGAGTACTTCTGTCTTTGTGGGGTGTAGGACAATCCAACCTCCTCCGCGGCACCCTGCAAGTCGCCTATCATCTTCTTCACGTGTCGTAGAGAGGTCACAAGAAGTAATATGTCATCCGCAAACCTGAAATTTGTCAGCCGATATTGTTTTGACATCATTGGCACCCCAATTTTGGATTTGATCCACTTTGCCTTCATTTCGTCGATGACATATTCAGATACGCTATTGAAGAAGAGGGAGCTGAGTGGATCGCCCTGCTTTGTCCCACGCTGTATCCGGAATTTCTTGCTAGCGCGATCGGTCTTCACGGTGGCTTTCTGGTCCCGGTACATGCATCGAAGAACTTGGATGTATCCCTCGTCAACTCCTTGATCAACCAAAGCGTCCCATATGCCCCTATGCGTAACACTGTCAAAGGCTTTCTGGGAATCCACTGCGACAGCCCAAAGAGGTACTTGGTATTCGCCCGCTCTGTATTGAAATAGTAAAAAAGATGATCTGTGGTGGATCGGACCGGGCGAACGCCTGCCTGGTCATTGCTTTGTTGCTTGTCCAAAACCGGCACCAGTATGTTATATAATGATCGAGAAACAACTTGTATAATATAAGTATAATGCTGATTGGCTTGTAATTCTGCGGTAATTTTGCGCTCCCACTGTTGCATATGACTTTGACCACGGTGCGCTTCCACTCTGTTGGCGCTGGGGCTTTCAAGTTTAGGATAACGTTGTACAGCATGAGAATAATCTCCCAGATCGCTAAGCCTCCAGAAGATACTCTCAACCACGATGCCCTTGCTGTCCGCTGCTTTGCCTTTCTTCATCTGTTGCAATGCCGTCTGTAGCTCCAGCATAGAGAACGGTGAAACGCTTGTCGCCGCTGTAGAAGTGTCGTCCTTCTCGGGATTGTTGCTCCCGGCGTCGCAATTCAAATCAGAATATAATTTGCTGTAAAAATCGGCAAACACGTCGGCGATCTCTTGTCTGCCCCGCACAGTCTCCCCACTCTCACACACCATACCTGGAATGAAGTCCTGTGATTTCTGCGATTTGATGCCAGCGATCTTCTTCAAGTTACGGAACTCAGATAAGGTGTTGTCAATCTCCGATCGGCGCTTCTCTCTCTTCATGTTCCGGATCCTGTTTCGGATCTCTTTGTTGAGAGCTCGTTTTGCTGCAGGGTCGTCTGCGTTGGTCTCGCGTCTCTTCTTGGATCAAATCTCCAACCCACCGTCGTCGTATTGAATTGTGCTTAATCGTGGGGCGCTGGAGCCGGCTATGTTCATAGATTCCAAAATTCTCTTTTCAAGTTGATCACAACTAAGATGTTTGCCCCTTTTCGTACCACGTAAGAGTTCACGAGCTTGTTCTTCGATGCTGGATTGATATGCCTCCAAATTCTGTGGCGGCCATCGCACTGGCTTCGTGATGGTGTTGTTCTTCTTATTGTTGGCATTCGTCTTGCTCGTCTCCTTCCGCAGGGCAGCGCTCCGCAGCCGTACCGTGGCGTGGACGGAACCGAGATCTGCAATATCCGTCGTTCCCACGTCTTTGACTGTTTTCCAAAATCGGCGATCCACCAAAAAATATTCGATCTGCTTCTTCACGCTGCCAGGCCCACGGTAAGTGCAACGGTGTTGGTATTGTTTGTTGAAAAAAGTACTCGTGACTTTGAGACTCATGCACACAGGTCACTTAAGAACAGATCATTCACATGCAGGCTCATTCATAATCAGACCCACCCACCAGAGCCACCCACACAGAGTCACCAGTCATCTATATTCAATCCCACGCACACACGGGTTATCTCGTACCCAGAACCATCATGCACGATTGGCTTCACTTTCACACTATAACGGCAACCGTGATGCAGCCTGCACGGCACTTGAGCCTGCATTGCACTTTAGCCTCCTGACGGTGGGTCGACCAGAAGTGTTCCTGGGGCTCGTTCGCGCAAAGATTGTGGGGACGTCTCAAGTGTAATGACCGCGATGTGGCTGCGGCCACGTCTCTTGATGAAGCCCCATGGCACCCGCGATGCAGCAGGCATGGCACTTGGCGATCCCAACGGGGTCTGACCACGAGCGCTCCACGTGCCCATTGTTGCCTGATTGTGGGGATGTCTCTATTGCAATGGTCGTGCGTGGTTGCGGGTGCGTCTCTTTTCAGAGACCCATGGCCACCGCGCCGCCGCAGGCATGGCGTGCGGCGCTCCAAAAGGGGGCGCGACCGCGAGTGTTCCACGGGCCGGGGAAGGTTGCCAAGAGGCGCAAAACGTTCACGAGCATGGTTGAGATCCTTGACGAATCTGGGCTGGCGCGAATGCCGCCAAGCTT